ACAGAGAGAGAGAGAGAGTAACAGAGACAGAGAGAGAGAAACAGAGACAGAGAGAGAGAAACAGAGAGAGAGAGAGAGTAACAGAGACAGAGAGAGAGTAACAGAGAGAGAAACAGAGAGAGTGTAAGGCACTCACAGAGACATAGGAAGAGAAGAAAGATGAGGAACACGGAAGAAGAGGGGAAGAGGTTAATCAAGAAAGAACCAAGAAGGGTCATGAGAAATAAAGCAAGAAAGTTGAGACAGTATTAATGGAGAACATGAAAATTAATGAAAGAGGGGTAAATACAAGGGAGAAACAGCAGGAGCAAGTGGGGAATAAAAGAGAGGAAATAGCATGAATAATTCCTTAATAGCAATTAATGATGAAAGAGAAACCAGAGAAAGAGAAAGAGAGAGATGAAACGGATAATTGAATAAGTGGGGCAAGTTGAGTGAAAATGTGAGTAATGCACTCATGAATGAGGCAAATGAGAAAAGACACCATAGAGAGGAATGAGTAAAGGAGGCGGGGATGGGGAAGTCACTGTGGCCAACTGGGAGACAAAGCCGTCCATTTTAAGCAGCGAGAGAGAGAGAGCGGAAGACCATAAAGGGAAGTGCAAGATACTCAGCCGAGCAGAAACCTTTATATCCGCTTACTGCTGCTGCCGCTTCATTGTTCTAGTCTCCCGGAAATTCCGATATCTTGGGGGAGGGGGAAGGAAAGAGGGAGGGGGGGAAGGAAAGAGGAAGGGGGGAAGAAAAGAGGGAGGGGGGAAGAAAAGAGGGAGGGGGGGAAGGAAAGAGGAAAGGGAGGGAAGGAAAGAGGAAGGGGGGGAAGGAAAGAGGAAGGGGGGGAAGGAAAGAGGAAGGGGGGAAGGAAAGAGGAAAGGGAGGGAAGGAAAGAGGAAGGTGGAAGGGGGTAAGGAAAGAAGTATAGAGAAGGGGGAAAGGAAAGAGTTGAGTTGAAGAGATTAATAACTGAATCCCACCAGCTGCCACCATTGAGAGTCAGACGCTAAGTACAGCATGAACAGGGCCAACATAATACTTTCTTGAGGTTATCCTGAGTTGATTTCGGGGCTTAGCGTCCCCGCGGCCCGGTCCTCGACCGGGCCTCCTTTTTGTTACACACACCCCAGGAAGCGGCCCGTAGCTACTGTCTAACTCCCAGGTTACTTTATGTCTAACTTTCTAGGTTATGTCACACTATATCTAGAAATACGTTTTCAACGGTTCAAAACAAATGAAATTAGTTCGTTAAAACCAATAATCGTCATTTTACCCAAACAATTCAGGTTTACCTTAAATAAAGACACATGAGAAATTAGGCCACTGGATATGAGTACTTGGACAGTCTGTCATTTAGCTTCTGTTTTACCTAGAGTAGCTAAATGATCGCGTTTTCAAGCAGGATTCCACAATGCAATTCTGGGGCCGCCTTTGCATATAAGATTTTCTTGGTGTTGTCTTGTGAGCTCTGATGATGTTCTGAAGTCATATTGATAGCAAAGTTGCAATGGTCGAACCCCAGCGTCAGGCTTGAAACTCGCCTAATTAACGAACCAGAATTGTTTGGCTTAAAACGAATATTGAAGTTGTTAGACCTCTCTGCACTCGGGAACTTAACCAGTGACCCGGTGGGCACAATCTCCAGGAGCCATGCCAATTCAACGCCGAATCAGCGTCAGCACCGTTGATTAGCCGTTGAACCACGTCGAATTTTAAGCAAAAGTAAGCAAATTTTACTGCCTGGTCAGAGAATGGGCCGTGGGGACGTTAATCCACGGAACCCATTACAAGGCATTAACAATTTTCAGAAAATTATTTGTTAATGACCTACGGTCATTTAAACAAGCCGATTGTTCGCCATCGACTTGACAACGACATACATGATCCTACTGGAAACTCACCAACCAAACCAAGGGGAACCTAAATGGAAACTGTAGAGAGAAATCATCATGTCCAAACTTACCTCTTCACTGTCTCCCGACAGTGAGAGTTGAAGGGGTTTACATAATGGGAGATGATTCAATGATGAAGTTGATGCTAACTCAACAGAAAGTTATATGTATATAAGATGGTTAAGATATATAAGGGACATCTAAGTCAGTGTCGTTTAGGAGAGCACAGCTAGGGGAGCACAGCTAGGGTAGCACACCTAGAAGAACACAGCTAGGAGAGCACAGCTAGGAGAGCACAGCTAATAGAGCACAGCTAATAGAGCACACCTAGGAGAGCACACCTAGGAGAGCACACCTAGGAGAGCACAGCTAGAAGAACATAGCTAGAAGAACACAGCTAGAAGAACACAGCTAGGAGAGCACAGCTAGGAGAGCACAGCTAGGAGAGCACAACGAGGAGAGCACAGCGAGGAGAGCACAGCTAGAAGAACACAGCTAGGAGAGCACAGCTAGAAGAACACAGCTAGGAGAGCACAGCTAGGAGAGCACACCTAGGAGAGTAAAGTTAGAAGAGCACAGCTGGGATAACACATTCCACAACACAATTAGAATGAGAATTGTCTGACCTCTTAACCCTTGCTCAATAATGCAGGCAAGGAAGCTGTCTGGCAGTGTGGAATTTGGCCCCAGAGTGCCTCAGAGTGCCCCACAGTGCCTCAGAATGCCTCACAGTGCCTCAGAGTGATGCTATTGGATCTATAATTCAAATGAGCTAATGGTACAAGTGCCCAGTGAAGCAATTTCTGTCTCAAATGAGAGGATATGGTTTATTGTGAAGCGGGAGGGGGAGATGGGGGCTGTCTAGAGGTCAAATAAGGGGTGTTAATGGTTGAACTGTGAGCTTGTTCAGTTGTCTGACGATGGATGAGACAGTTTCGGTCGAGATTAATTTATGCAACGCTGGATGAAGTGGTTCCTGTGGAATGTGGTTCTCTCTGATCTATTGATACCTGGTTGATGGGGTTCTGGGAGTTCTTCTACTCCCCAAGCCCGGTTGGGCTTGGGGAGTAGAAGTGGTTGGGCACCATTCCTTTCCCTCTTCCCATCCCCAATCCTTATCCTGACCCCTTCCAAGTGCTATATAGTCGTAATGGCTTGGTGCTTCCCCCTGATGATTCCATTCCATTGGAGCGGCCCGCAGGCCCACATATTCACAGCCTGGTTGGTCCGGTACTTCTTGAAGAGAAGTTTAGTGTTTTAGTTTCTAGTTTCTCTTGAAGAGAATCTAGTTTTCCCTTAGATACGTCCACGTTTGTTCCAGTAGTATTTAAGCTCACTGCGAGGAGCAGTGATCAACCAGGCTGTGACTCATACGTCAGGCTGCGAGCAGCCGCGTCCAACAGCCTGGTTGATCAGTCCAGCAACCAGGAGGCCTGGTCGACGACCGGGCCGCGGGGACACTAAGCCCCGGAAGCACCTCAAGGTAGCCTCAAGGAGGATGGTGAACAGCCGTTTGTAACTTAAAGTTACAGACCCGAAAAGTCTGGATAAACAGAATCTTAATCTCCATAAACTATCTATTTATTTAGACCCTCTTTCCGTTCTGCAATAGTCTAGCTTGATGCATTTGCTTGAATCAAATGAAGGAAAGAAATAAACGCATCCTCAGGTGGGCATCGTATCCTCTTCTTGAAACTTGAACCCAAATCCTGATCCTCAATCTTAAATACTGAAATTACTCCAGGCAGTTTGTGGCAGTTAATCTATGTAATTTGATCGTTAAATGTAAGTGTTTTCAAGTAATACACCATCCGGAGGAGACGAGGGGTGACCAGGAGAGAGAAATAAAGAACGAAAGAAGACAAAGAAATAGGGGGAGATAGTGATAGAGAGAAAAGAGGGAGACTGAGGGAAGATAGAACAAAGTGATATAGAAGAAAGTGAGATAGAACAAAGTGATATAGAAGAAAGTGAGATAGAACAAAGTGAGATAGAACAAAGTGAGATAGAACAAAGTGAGATAGAACAAAGTGAGATAGAACAAAGTGAGATAGAACAAAGTGATATAGAAGAAAGTGAGATAGAAGAAAGTGAGATAGAACAAAGTGATATAGAAGAAAGTGAGATAGAACAAAGTGATATAGAAGAAAGTGAGATAGAACAATGGGTGTTCTTAAATCATCTGACTTCCCTTTGGCTCCCATTCCAAAACCCGTTAAACATTGTCCCTTCTCACCTCTATCTCCATAAACTATATTTATTTAGACCCTCTTTCCGTTCTGCAATAGCCTAGCTTGATGCAGGGTCGGCGTTCGATACCCGATGGTTCAAGTGGGTATGGTTCCTTCACGCCCTCAAATCCCTTCCAATTACAATACAATCATCCTGGCTAATTAGCTCTTCTCTTTATAGTCTTATTGCCTTTTCAATCCTCATTCCTCTTTCTCGCCTCCTCCTCCTCCTCCACTATCTTACCCCCCCCCCCTATTTCCTCCCCCTGTCTCTCTCCGTTTCTCTCCCTCTCTCTCTATCTCTGTTTCTAACTATATCCAGTTCTCACTTTATCCAATTTGCTTCTCCCTCCCTCCCTCCCTCTCCCTCTCTCTCTCTCTCTCTCCCTCTCCCTCTCTCTCTCTTTCACCACCACAACTCTCTCTCACCCATCTCGGCTAACCTTTTTTCCTGTAATTGAAAATAAAAATAATTTAATTGGATAACATCGTTATATTGTTGAATTAACCCAATTTATATTTATGATACTACCGGGCTATAGAGGATATATAGGCCTGCGGGCAGCTGCAAGCAACAGCCTGTTGGACCAAGTTATCACAAGGAGTAGAAAAACTCTGGAAACCTTCTTCAGGTAAGATCCTCAACCACCTTACTCGCTTCACACAGGCAACAACATGGGGGCCGGAGTCCCCGTAGCAACAACATGGGGGCCGGAGTCTCCCGTAGCAACAACATGGGGGCCGGAGTCTCCCGTAGCAACAACATGGGGGCCGGAGTCTCCCGTAGCAACAACATGGGGGCCGGAGTCTCCCGTAGCAACAACATGGGGGCCGGAGTCTCCCGTAGCAACAACATGGGGCCGGAGTCTCCCGTAGCAACAACATGGGGGCCGGAGTCTCCCGTAGCAACAACATGGGGGCCGGAGTCTCCCGTAGCAACAACATGGGGGCCGGAGTCTCCCGTAGCAACAACATGGGGGCCGGAGTCTCCCGTAGCAACAACATGGGGGCCGGAGTCTCCCGTAGCAACAACATGGGGGCCGGAGTCTCCCGTAGCAACAACATGGGGGCCGGAGTCTCCCGTAGCAACAACATGGGGGCCGGAGTCTCCCGTAGCAACAACATGGGGGCCGGAGTCTCCCGTAGCAACAACATGGGGGCCGGAGTCTCCCATAGCAACAACATGGGAGAAATAGCGTCCCAGGTTGACAGATTTTTACGAAAATCGAAAACTAAACAGTGAAACGAAACTAGAAAAAATATCTAAAGAAAATGACCGCAATAGAGACAAAATAAATATTGAGAATATTTATATAATGTTTTCCAACGAATGAAGGATCAACCCTTCGCTGTACCCTCAACCCCTCCCCTACGCCCTCAACCCCTTCCCTACGCCCTCAACCCCTTCCCTACGCCCTCAATCCCTTCCCTACGCCCTCAACCCCTTCCCTAGGCCCTCAACCCCTTCCCTAGGCCCTCAACCCCTTCCCTAGGCCGTCAACCCCTTCCCTACGCCCTCAATCCTTCCCTAGGCCGTCAACCCCTTCCCTAGGCCGTCAACCCCTTCCCTACGCCCTCAACCCCTTCCCTAGGCCCTCAATCCCTTCCCTAGGCCCTCAACCCCTTCCCTACGCCCTCAACCCCTTCCCTACGCCCTCAACCCCTTCCCTACGCCCTCAACCCCTTCCCTACGCCCTCAACCCCTTCCCTAGGCCCTCAACCCCTTCCCTACGCCCTCAATCCCTTCCCTAGGCCGTCAACCCCTTCCCTAGGCCGTCAACCCCTTCCCTACGCCCTCAACCCTTCCCTAGGCCCTCAATCCCTTCCCTAGGCCCTCAACCCCTTCCCTACGCCCTCAACCCCTTCCCTACGCCCTCAACCCCTTCCCTACGCCCTCAACCCCTTCCCTACGCCCTCAACCCCTTCCCTACGCCCTCAATCCCTTCCCTACGCCCTCAACCCCTTCCCTAGGCCCTCAACCCCTTCCCTACGCCCTCAATCCCTTCCCTAGGCCCTCAACCCCTTCCCTAGGCCCTCAACCCCTTCCCTACGCCCTCAACCCCTTCCCTACGCCCTCAATCCCTTCCCTAGGCCGTCAACCCCTTCCCTAGGCCGTCAACCCCTTCCCTACGCCCTCAACCCCTTCCCTAGGCCCTCAATCCCTTCCCTAGGCCCTCAACCCCTTCCCTACGCCCTCAATCCCTTCCCTAGGCCGTCAACCCCTTCCCTAGGCCGTCAACCCCTTCCCTACGCCCTCAACCCCTTCCCTAGGCCCTCAATCCCTTCCCTAGGCCCTCAACCCCTTCCCTACGCCCTCAACCCCTTCCCTACGCCCTCAACCCCTTCCCTACGCCCTCAACCCCTTCCCTACGCCCTCAACCCCTTCCCTACGCCCTCAACTCCTTCCCTACGCCCTCAACCCCTTCCCTAGGCCCTCAATCCCTTCCCTAGGCCCTCAACCCTTCCCTACGCCCTCAACCCCTTCCCTACGCCCTCAATCCCTTCCCTACGCCCTCAACCCCTTCCCTAGGCCGTCAACCCCTTCCCTAGGCCGTCAACCCCTTCCCTAGGCCGTCCACCCCTTCCCTAGGCCGTCAACCCCTTCCCTACGCCCTCAACCCCTCCCTACGCCCTCAACCCCTTCCCTACGCCCTCAATCCCTTCCCTACGCCCTCAACCCCTTCCCTACGCCCTCAACCCCTTCCCTACGCCCTCAATCCCTTCCCTAGGCCATCAACCCCTTCCCTAGGCCGTCAACCCCTTCCCTAGGCCGTCAACCCCTTCCCTAGGCCGTCAACCCCTTCCCTAGGCCCTCAACCCCTTCCCTACGCCCTCAATCCCTTCCCTAGGCCCTCAACCCCTTCCCTAGGCCCTCAACCCCTTCCCTAGGCCCTCAACCCCTTCCCTACGCCCTCAATCCCTTCCCTACGCCCTCAACCCCTTCCCTACGCCCTCAACCCCTTCCCTACGCCCTCAACCCCTTCCCTACGCCCTCAATCCCTTCCCTAGGCCCTCAATCCCTTCCCTAGGCCCTCAATCCCTTCCCTAGGCCCTCAATCCCTTCCCTAGGCCCTCAATCCCTTCCCTAGGCCCTCAACCCCTTCCCTAGGCCCTCAACCCCTTCCCTAGGCCCTCAACCCCTTCCCTACGCCCTCAACCCCTTCCCTACGCCCTCAATCCCTTCCCTAGGCCCTCAACCCCTTCCCTAGGCCCTCAACCCCTTCCCTAGGCCCTCAATCCCTTCCCTAGGCCCTCAATCCCTTCCCTAGGCCCTCAACCCCTTCCCTAGGCCCTCAACCCCTTCCCTAGGCCCTCAACCCCTTCCCTAGGCCCTCAACCCCTTCCCTAGGCCATCAACCCCTTCCCTACGCCCTCAACCCCTTCCCTACGCCCTCAATCCCTTCCCTAGGCCCTCAACCCCTTCCCTACGCCCTCAACCCCTCCCCTACGCCCTCAACCCCTCCCCTACGCCCTCAACCCCTCCCCTACGCCCTCAACCCCTCCCCTACGCCCTCAAACCCCTCCCCTACGCCCTCAACCCCTCCCCTACGCCCTCAACCCCTCCCCTACGCCCTCAACCCCTCCCCTACGCCCTCAACCCCTCCCCCTACGCTGGCCTTTCTAGCTACCAATAAACCCCACCCCACCCACAAATAAGCCCACCCCCGACTGATGAACTCCCCCCCCCCCTGCAGACGAATCAACACCCCTCCCTTCCCTCCCCCAATGAATGCCCCTTTCCAGCACATTCATTTCGACCCACCTATCCTACTGCTCATCCCGCCAAGGAAGGGGGCACTGCTCCCCTACGCCCACCCAGGAGGGGGCACTGCTCCCCCCCCCCCGACTACCGAGGAGGGGGGCACTGCCCCCCACGCCCACCCAGGAAGATTTAATCAAATGTGGCAAAATACGTGATCTTCCCTTCCCGCCTTCCTGAAATTATATTGCCAGAAAATATACTATTAGAGGAAAGCGCCAAGCCATTACGACTATAAAGCACTGGGAAAGGGTCAGAATAAGGATTTGGGATGGGACGGGGGAAGGAATGGTGGCCAACCACTTGGACAGTCGGGGATTGAACGCTGACCTGCATGAACCGAGACCGTGGCTCTACCGTCTAGCCCAAGTAGTTACCGATAGGGCAATACAAAGACACCATGAGAGGTCGTCGGTTACTAGTCTGGGTAAATTACCCAGAAAACTTGATTTTTTTTTTTTTGCAGGGATATTCGTGCGCGGGCCCTAAGCCTCTGGCTGGCCCACTGGGCGGGCCCTAAGCCTCTGGCTGGCCTACTGGGCGGGCCCTAAGCCTCTGGCTGGCCTACTGGGCGGGCCCTAAGCCTCTGGCTGGCCCACTGGGCGGGCCCTAAGCCTCTGGCTGGCCTACTGGGCGGGCCCTAAGCCTCTGGCTGGCCTACAGGGCGGGCCCTAAGCCTCTGGCTGGCCCACTGGGCGGGCCCTAAGCCTCTGGCTGGCCTACAGGGCGGGCCCTAAGCCTCTGGCTGGCCCACTGGGCGGGACCTAAGCCTCTGGCTGGCCCACTGGGCGGGCCCTAAGCCTCTGGCTGGCCCACTGGGCGGGCCCTAAGCCTCTGGCTGGACCACTAAGTGTTGCTTGTTTCTGTTTTACTTAGGCGGAGTATGAGTATTTATGACTCGTATGGTCGCTTCAGTAAGATTTTGCCATATGTGTTTAACAACAACTTCTTCTGCTCTGTTGAATCTAAGTTGAAATCTTATTGAAGTAATAATCCGGCAAGACGTGTTATAGGAAACCATAACTTCCGTCTCAAGAAACATCTCCTCCAGCGATATTAACTGCCATAACAACTGCCATTAACTGCCCATAACTTCTGGGCAGCGATAACAAACTGCCCAGAAGATGCAATTAACAATTACCGTCAAGGAAGGCTTCGTAGGGACCGCTGCCCCCTCCCCCCTTCCCTCCTCCTCTTCCTACTTTTCCGGTTTCTTAAAATCCCAATATTACTGCAAAAGAACCTAGACGACACTGAAACCCTAAGAAGCCTAGCAGTAAAATAGGTACCTGGGTGTTAGTCAGCTGTCACGGGCTATTTCCTGGGGGTGGAGGCCTGGACGAGGACCGGGCCGCGGGGACACTAAAGCCCCGAAATCATCTCAAGATAACCTCAAGATAAGATAGCCATCAACATTAGCTCCTCTGTACTGTAATGATTACAGCGCTAGTCGTTCATCTGGGACCGCTCAAGTTCTGTATTTCTGAATCGCAGGAAAGTCGACCATTTGACCAGATATTACAGGGCCAATGACCTCTTCCCCCCCCCCCAACCTCAATTACCACCCACCACAAAAGCCGATCACTCCACCCCCCTCCTGTAACCCCCCCAAACCCCACCCAACCCCCCAACCCCTCTACAGGACCTCAGCTGCTACTTGTCTGCTGCCATTAAGTGCATAATTAATCCCACTCGCGGAGAGGGAGTGGGAGGAGGGATGGAAGGGATGGAGGAGGGATGGAAGGCAGGGAGAGGAAGGGATGGAGGCGGATAGGGATTAGAAGAAAAGGCCGTAAACCCCCCCCCCCCTGCCACAATCCCACTGTGACTAAGGGTGAGAATAGAGTGAGAATCCCACTGTGACTAAGGGTGAGAATAGAGTGAGAATCTCACTGTGACTAAGGGTGAGAATAGAGTGAGAATCCCACTGTGACTAAGGGTGAGAATAGAGTGAGAATCCCACTGTGACTAAGGGTGAGAATAGAGTGAGAATCCCACAGTGACAAGATACCAGTGTCGGCCATTTTCCAAGAAATGGGGAGATTAAGGGGGGCTGGTGCCTCCCTTAATCTACTAAGTCACTTAAATGATCCTGTTACCGTTCCTTCTGACCAACGTCGCTACTCTCCAGTCTCGCTGAACACTGGACTCCATCCTCACTAAGATTCATCCTCCATCCTACGATTCATCCTCCATCCTCTCTAAGATTCCTCCTCCATCCTAAGATTCCTCCTCCATCCTAAGATTCATCCTCCATCCTCCCTAAGATTCCTCCTCCATCCTCCCTAAGATTCCTCCTCCATCCTCCCTAAGATTCATCCTCCATCCTCAGTAAGATCCATCCTTCATCCTCCATCCTCCTTAAGATTCATCCTCCTTCCTCCCTAAGTTTCTTCCTCCATCCTCACTAAGATTCCTCCTCCATCCTCCCTAAGATTCATCCTCCATCCTCCCTAAGATTCCTCCTCCATCCTCCCTAAGAT